AACCACTACCTGAAGCTCAAGATCAACGGTCGTAATTCCGAGGTGGGGCGACTAGATCTCACAATTCAAGACTTTCTTTTTTGTTTTTTTTATAATTTTACATATTTGATTTTGAATAATTTCAAGCCTTTTTTTTATATTCAATTTTATTTTTTTAATTTTTAATAGTTAAAATTAACAACATAACCATGCCACATCAGCAGTTTAATGGTTTTTAATTTGAAAACTAACGGAATGGGGCAACCTTGGTCACGGAATGAAAGTTCAAGGGGGAGATTGAGTCATTTAAAATGTCAAGGGGCAAACTGAGAAGATTTGGAAACCACAGGGGGCATTTCAACAAATAAGCCAAAAAAAGAAAGTAATTTACACTATTTCCTTGTCGAAATTGATTTATTTTAATTAATCAATCATCTGGTAATTAATATTACGTTCAAGGTATGTGTTGAGCTATTTTGTTTCATTGGGTAATTACTATTTAAACATGTCTTTTACTTTCTAAATACTAGCCCCTTGCCACACGCTCACGCGTGTGCCAATTGGTTTTCAGTTTTTAGTTTTTAGAATTAAGAAAAGAAAAAATGAGTAGTTATTTTCCATAAAAATAGGATCAATTATTTGATTTTGTTTTTAATTTTAATTTTGTTTAATATGAAAAAATGTGAATTTACCATATTATCCTCATTTAATTAATAATTTCAATTCTTATTGTTTGAAGTAACCAAGGGCATTTTCTGGTATTTTGAATGTTTCACCATTCTCTGTCTTTTGCTTTATATATATAGATCATCCTGCGTTCACGAAGTAAAGGAACCGTTTAAATAGTATCTCACTATTTAAATTTAGAAACATATTTGAATTTGAATTGAGATTTCAATTTAAATATTTGATTTTGAGTTGCCGACCCCTCTCAAGCTATTCCCTGTAGTAAAAAAAACCAAAAAACAAGCTTATGATGCATGGTCTCATTTTAAGAAAAATTTTAAGAAAATTAATCTTTATGCCTAAGTAGGCCCGACTTATTGGCCCCGCCATAAGCCCGAAAATGTTAGGTCCATTAGTAAGGCCTGGGCTTTGTATAATTAACATAGGACATTTCCGACCCGGCCCGTAACTGTTTAGGGCTGAAAAGGCCCTAAGCCCGGCCCGATAACTTCGTAAAACCTAATTGAACTCATCTTCTTTCCAGCCGCCTCTTCACTGTTCTATCGTCTTCTCTTCTTATATTCATTGTTGTTTTTTCGGTACTTGCTTTGCTCTCTCATCACAGTATCAGGTATATCTCATCTTTCGTCTGTATCTGAGTTATGATTTTTTCTCTGATTTTGCCTGTATAATTATTGATGCCCTCTCCATTTGCTATTTGATGTTCCTTCTTTCTAGTTTTTCAGTTTTTTTAGTATTTAAATCCTATTTGCATTTGTTCTATGTGGTTCAACATGTTATATTCATTGTTTAGGGCTCTCTAACACAGGTTAAAGAATTGCCTTTACTGTTTTTTTGTATAATATTTGCCTTCATTGTTGTTTATATTCTCATGGATTTTCCGAAGCTTTTTTCGGCTCAAAACTTGCATCTTTTGGATGTGGATGTTCTGTATTGGAAGATAAGGAATTTCTCTCTTTTATTTTCTTCCTCTAGTGCGAGAGAGACCTCGACCTTCTTCGTTTGCCGCCGTCTTTTCCTCTAGTCGTCAGCTCAACTTCGCAACCATGGTATTTCTCTATCCAATTCTCTGTTAATGAAAATGAAAAAGAAAAAGAAAAAGAAAAGTTTGTTTGTTCATGGTTCTGAT